AAAAATATCCCCTTCATTATTGAAAAAGAAGAGTACGACCCAGAAAGTAGATATATTTTGGTCACAGGCTTTATCTTTGGTCAGAACCTTATTATCTTAAACATAGATGCTCCAAATGAAGATTGTCCCAAATGTATATCTGGAATGGTTCTGCTGTTCAGTCAGTATTATTACGGTCTCTGGCTTTTAGCAGGAGATTTAAACTGTATACTGAATCCTAGTCTGGATAAATCTTCTGCAGCACCTGTGGTCAATCCAAAATCCTCCCACACTCTCAAGTTCTTGAGTCAAGAGTTGGGTTTAGTGGATGAATGGCAGGAATTTCACCTCACAGATAAGAACTACACATTTTACTCTGATCCAGATAATTCATATTCCAGATTAGACTGTTTCTTTATACCTTTCAAGCTTATGCATGTGGTTAGAAGTTGTAGGATTGGCTCTTTTGTATTGTCACGCCAAGTCAATCTGGAGATTGACATCAACATGATAACTTCAAGATCAATTTACTGGAGGCTAAACTCATTAAATATGGAGTCATTCTGTTCATATACCAGAGAGAAAATATCCCAGTACTGGCAGAACAACCAGCATTCCCCTACTACAGTAACCATATGGGATGCTTTTCAGGCTACTTTAAAAGGTCACTTTATTACTTAGACTTCAATGCAGGTGAAATTCCACGCACAAAAGGAAAATCTTGAAGCTGAGGTTATCTGATTAGAAAAAAAACATAATAAACATAGAACCTTCGGCTGAATCTATTAGAACAAATAGGATTATATCAGGTGTGACTGTTAGGATAGACGATCACTGTATATCTTTATTTGCTGATGATGTGTTGCTGTACTTAACAGATCCACAGGCCTCAAATCCTGAATGTGATTTTTCAGTATAGTAAATTTTCAGGTTACCAAATTAATCTAAATAAATTTCTGGCATTTCATCTCTTAAATATTCCTTCCAATATTATATTAAATTATCCTTTTCATCCAGCTGACTCAACCAGTTGTTTAGTGAAAACTATCCACCAATAATAAATAAAATAAACGAGATCTGTCTGATTGGGCCAACCTGCCTACTTCATTTTTTGGCAGAATTAACGTTGATGAACTCCCACACCTGAATTGTTTTTATTTCAAAATCTTCCCTGTCGTTTATCCTCTGATTTTTACAAAAGGCTCAACACCCATATTTCTAGATATATATGGGACCATAAAAAACATATCAAGTTACTCAAACCTTTCAAGCCCAAAAATATGGGTTCAGCATTTCTACCGAACACGTAGCTCTATTATTGTTCTGCCCAAATGAAACAGATGATGAGTTGGTTTCAGAATAGACTTGACCTAATAGACCTAATTAAAAGTTACTGCATCAGATGGAATTGCTTGTTATTGAACAGACATAGTGAAGATCACAGAATTTCTGCATCCATATGTTCATGCATTTACTTTATGCTTTTGGAGGCACGAATACAACAACATCATATCATAACAACATCATGGGCCACTATAAGTATTTGACCAACTTAAGTCATCAAACTGCCATTGTCTGTAATCCAAACCAGCCTTGTTTTGCAGTATTATAATTCTGTGACTTGTATCATAGATATAGTCTCTTTTGGCTTCTGCTATAGAAATGATTCACTTTTTTGGGAATTACTTCTACCTACTAGTTAGTTGTACTACTACAAAACCCACACAATGTTTTATGATGTTCCCCCTAAAAATGGTGATGTCTGGTTACACACTGGTACCCAGATGTACCAAACTGCAAATGTGCTAACATTCACTGTAGAATCATTGTGTAGCAGAGTGCATGTATCTTGAGAAATTGCTTGTCCTCTCCATGCTCCATCAGCAGAGCAACTTTGTTTTGAAAACAAAAATCTATCATGTAGATCAAATAGTATCTAGAACATGATATTGTGGTTAACTTTGGGGACAAGTGAACTTAAACCCTGAGTCAATTTCAACACATAGAATAAGTGACAGCTCTATTTTCTCATCTTAACTGCTTTTTATAACATTTTAGTCCTTTATATCTTGGTGATGACAAAAATGAATGCTCCAATGAAGGACATCCAGATGTCCATCACTTCAACTGTGTTTCTTGATCACATCACTGGTTAAAAGGGTCTCTGCATCATCCCTTGTTCAAATCATTGTAACAACATGAGTTCCACACACACTGCCTTGGGTTTCCTGAAAGCACACAAACAAACAGCAGCATCAGTATCTGATGGTGATCATACAGTGAAATAATAATCATACTGAACTTTTTCTTCATACACTGTAAAAGGCTACATCTGTCCCTGCCTAATTAGAGTCCTGCAACTCTAAGAGGAGTGATGGACGCTAGTGGGGGAAAGGGAGTCTTCACTTTGAGTTTGGCCTCTGTGACCTGATATCAACAGTTCTGCTCAAAGCTCTCCTCTCAGAGTTCCCCATGTCCCTATTTTAAAGGTAGCACTATTTACAGTGTGAAGCATGTCCACATTTTTCCCCTCGACATAATACTGATACTGCTGCTTCAGTAGGTAAAAGAACTCAGAACAGCCTTTTCCATTTAGCCT